GCTGCTGCTCTCGGGTGTATAGGCAGCTGCAACTACACCCCCCGTGTGTGTTGGGGTGTCTGCTCACCTTCCCCGTTTCCTCTCTGCTGCTGCTGCTGCTGCTGCTGCTGCTGCAGCTGCTGCTGCTGCTGCTGCTGCTGCTGCTGGGTAAAATGTTTGAGACGAAGTTTGAGTCGAATATAAATAAATGCGGCGACAAAGAAGTGCACATGGGTAAGGCCCCCAACCAGCCACCACGGGGTGTATGTACACCTCAGCATGCATAGCCAGCTGTATATATATATATATATACCTTTTATAGTCTTTGCTCTCTATACACTCTACACTCTATACACCTTCAACTGTATATACAGCTCCCTATACACCCTGCGGTGTATATGCAGCTCCCTATACAGCCTGGTGTGTATATGCAGCTCCCTATACACCCTGGGGTGTCTATGCAGCTCCCTATACACCCTGGGGTGTATATGCAGCTCCCTATACACCCTGGGCTGTCCATGCAGCTCCCTATACACCCTGGGGTGTCTACGCAGCTCCCTATACACCCTGGGGTGTCTATACAGCTCCCTATACACCCTGCATTTTCTCTGCAGCTCCCTATACACCGTGGGGTGTATATGCAGCTCCCTATGTTTTGTATAGGTATAGATGAAGCCGGGCGGGGGTGTGTGTTGGGGGCGATGGTCTATGCTGCTTTCTACTGCCCCCCTGAAGCTGTACAGACACTCAAAGATATGAAGGTAGACGGTAAGCGTGCTGCTGCTGCTGCTGCTGCTGCTCCTGCTGCTGCTGCTGCTGCTGCTGCTGCTGTTGTTGTTGTTGTTGTTGTTGTTGTTGTTGTTGTTGCTGCTGCTGCGGTTATTGTTGCTGCTGTTGTTGCTGCTGCTGCTGCTGTTATTTCTCATCTTGCTGCTCTTCTTGCTGCCGCTGCTGCTGCTGCTGCTGCTGCTGCTGCTGCTGCTGTGTGTATGCACAGACTCCAAGCGGCTAACAGAGGAGCAGAGGGAGACAGCATTTGTCTCCTTTATGCAGCAAAAGGAGACATTCGGGTTTGTCTCC